ACTGGATCTGGGCTCACATTGATCGATATGGGGCGCAGTAACAGTCAGACCAGGACATTATCTTGGTCATCGCAGATAATATGAGAAGGGGAAGAAGCCAAGTGGATTGCTCAACTTCATGACGAAGGAGCCCCTGAGTTGAAAGAGGTGGATGAGTTTGTGCAGTCTCTAAGGGCCCAATTAGAGGACACAGCTAACCGAGAGGAAATTGAAGCAGAGATCAAGGGTCCAAAGCAGCGCAGTAGATTCTCCCAAGGAGTTTGGGTGGGAGTTTAGAAAAGTGGCTGGAAAGCTACAAGGCTGGCCTCAGCAACTCTTCATCCATTATTTTAAGGAAGCCCTGGATCTGGACCTTAGGCAAGCTTGCACCTACAGGAGGGGTGCCTCACCAGATCCAAGATTGGTACCAGATAACAGTGAGTATGGACTTGGAAATTCACCCCCACTGGAGGCTGACACAAGAGAAACCCCCTAAGCGGCTGTTGGGCTGTAGGCCAGCCGGAAAGCCGCCAGTAGTGGTGAAACCAGCAGCAAGCTCTGAAGTCAAGTGTTTCAGATGTGGCAAGCAGGGTCACCAAGCCTTGGAATGTCTCGCACTGGCTCCTATTCCTCAGGCGAAATGGTGATTAGGACCCAATGATAAGTGGAGCCATCCACCCTTTTATCATAAAATATCGTATAAGGGTTTCCTGGACCAGAGCCCATGGGCACTGGAGGCTATAATAGACACAGGCTGCACCCGGTGCTTAGTCAGCTCCCAGACCATGCAAAATTTAGAGATAAAAACAATAACTCTGAAACACCCCAAATGCTTTGAACAAGTTGATGTTCACTTATTGGGGGAGAGCCAGCAACATTAGTCACCAAGTAAGGCTGGAGATGAGGCGGCACTGGGAACTGTTACAATTTGTTGTATGTAAATGACCAAAGACCTCATTCTAGGCTTGGCTTGGTTAGACAAATGGGCCCCCACCATTGCCTGGGAGGAAGGCTACCATAAGCTAAGGATAGGCATAGGCCCCTTGCCTATTCACATACAATCTGAGAGCCAGCCACCTTTGGGACCCAAGGATTGCAGTCAGAAGAAGGGAGTGGCCTCCATGATGGAGGGACTGCCTGGTTGCCCACAGATACCCAAAGAATACTAGGACTTAGCAGAGGCCTTTACCGAAGATGAGTGCAATGTACTTCCCTCCCACTGACTGCGCAATAGAATTCATCCCAGGGGCAAAACTACCAAAGCCAAAAATGTACTCAATGACCCATAAAGAAATGGATGAATTGAGGAAGTACATTGATGCCAACTTAGCGAGGGGATTCATCCAGCCAGCGAAATCTCAGGTTGCAGCCCCCATATTGTTTAAAGAGAAGATGGGGGGAGGTGAGGCTCTGCATTGATTTTTGCGGGATATATGCTAATTGCGTACAGAATACCTACTCCCTACTCCTCATGAAAGACATGCTCAACCAATTGGTGAAGGGTAAGGTGTTTACCAAGCTAGACCTATGAGAAGCCCATGCGGATAAAAGAGGGGGATGAATGGAAGACTACATTCAATTGCCTGCTAGGCAGTTTCCAGTTAAAAGTCATGCCTTTTGGGCTATAGGGAGCCCGCACAGTGTTTATGCACTACATTTTGGATAACATTCTCATCTTCAGTGAGACAATGGAGGAGCACGTTAAACTAGTGCAAAAAGTGTTGAAAAAACTTCTAGATGCTAAGCTTTATGCCAAGCTGTCAAAATGAGTTCCATAAGACTTCCCTGGACTACCTGGGCTTCTGAGTGTCAAACGAGGTAATTGAAATAAATCCAGCCAAAGTTAGAGCTGTGTTGGACTGGCAGCCTCCTCAGACCCAGAAACAACTCCTGGGCTTTGCAAACTTCTACCAGCAGTTCATTCCCGCGTTTGCTGAAATAGCCTTACCCCACTGAGTTGTTAAAAGCCAGGGGGACTGACCCTCAGCCCAAACCCAACCAACTACTGAACTGGACATTTGAATATGAATGAGCTCTTGACGAGTTGAAGGGACTGTTCTCTAAAGAGCCAATCTTGCTACACCATGACCCCGACCGGCCGTTTGTAGTGCAAGTGGATGCCAGCGATGTTGCCACTGCGGCAGTGCTTCTCTAGGAAAACTCCCTGGGCTAGCTGCAACCCTGTGCTTATGTGTCCAAAAAGCTCACCGACACTGAAATGATGGGCCATCTGGGAGAAAGAGACCTTCATGGTCAGGTGGGCCCTCCTCTCTTGGAGGCATTTCTGGAGGGCAGCAAAGTGCCTTTTGAAATCTGGACTGATCACAAAAACCTAGAGGCACTGAAGACACTTGAGAAAATTGTCCTCTAAGCTGGGTGCAATACTTCAAATGCTTCAACTTTGAACTGAAGCATATCCCAGGTGAGAAAAATAAGTTGGCCGATGCTCTGTCAAGAAAATCTCAATTTAACAGCCAACGGGAGAAAGTAGTACATGCAGTCGTACTGCAATCTCAGTCAGCTGCTCAAGTCACTGTCCGAAGCCTAGCCAGGAATTAGGACGATTGTACGGCAGACCAAATCACTGCAGAGATGAAGACTGTGCTCCCCACTTATCATTGGTAAAAGATAACCCCAACATCCTAACACTTTGAGATGAGCTAGCTTAAAAGGGATCCAAGTTGTACATTCCTGCCAGCCTGGGGCTGAAAGTACTTCAACGCAGTTACGATTCCTGGTTGGATGGTCACTTTGGATTCCTAAGGACCCTCCACTTAGCGAGGAGGCAGTTTTGGTGGCTGAAGATGAAGGCAGTTGTAGAGGACTATGGAAAAAGCTGTTCCATGTGTACTGTCATGAAAACGCAAACAGGGAAGCCGCCTGGTCTGCTCCAGCCAGTAGCTGATTCCAGCCATCCATATGAGGAAATAGCCATAGACTTTATAGTTGAACTCCCAGAGAGCGGTGGAAATGCTGTCATTTGGACAGTGGTTGATTTGTTTTCTAAGCAAGCACATTTTGCTGCTTGCTCTGGATTACCATCAACTAAGAGATTAGCAAAAATCTTCATCAAACAGATTATTTCTGATTAAGGAGTCCAGTTTACCATGAAGTTCTGGAGGGAATTCCTACATTCTGTTGTGCCCTCTCAGAGGCTGAGCTCTGCTTTTCATCTGAGCATGAACGGGGCCGTGGAATGGACGAATACCATGGTGGAACAGTACCTGAGATGCTATGTAGATTACCAACAAGAAAATTGGGCTGATCTGCTACCTTTCATGGAAGTGGCCTACAACAACACAGTCCACAATAGCATAGGCTTAACCCCTTTCCAAGTCATCAGCAGAATGTACTTTGTGCCTATGCCTGAGCTATCTAGAGAGCCTTCAACCTCAATGTCCCTAGCTGAGTTGGTGGATTCATTAAAACAGGGTTGGGACAATATCAAGTATGCCCTCGCCAAAGCAGCTGAAAAATACATGCAGCAGGTGGACAAGCACCAGTCCCCGCAAGCCCCCTTTAAAGTAGGATATCAGGTCTATTTATCCACTAAATATCTTAAAGTTGCTTCCAAAGAAACTGGGTCTAAAATTCCTAAGACCATTCCCAATAGTGAAAGTGATAAATCCAGTAACTGTGCAACTAAGTCTCCCTCGCTTGTTAGGGAAAGTGCATCTGGTATTCCACAGTAACTACATGGAAACTGGCTGTTAGCTCACAATTGAGACCAAGAGATCAGCCCGCTCCCAAGCCCATAGTAATCCAGGGTGAGAAGCATTATGAAGTAAAGAACATCTTAAGACTCTAGATTGCATAGAGGTTGATTACAATACCTAATCCACTGGAAGGGGGTACCCTCTATCTAAAGCCACATGGGTGAAGAGTTGGGATGTAAAGGCAAATAGGTTGGTAAAGCAGTTTCACGAAAAGTTTCCTGATAAACCAAAGGGCCCTCTGTGGGGTGGGGGGAAGAAATTGTTTGTTGGTTGTTCCTAACTTCCTGTCACTTGTCTCATTTCAGGACATCATCATTGTTTGAGGGGAGGCAGTCTGTCAGCTACAGATCCATCTTGATTCAAATTCAGGGCTCCACAGCGAGGGATGGGCAAGTTGTGGGAACGGGAGAGTGTTGAAGGGAATATAGCCACAACAACATTCTTTCACCAGGGATCAAGGACTAGATACTGGCATTTGAAGGGGAGTGACTGGAATTGGCAGTAGTTGAGAAATGAGGTGGATTGACTAATCTGATTAAGGAGTCATAAAATGGGGCAAGGTGTGAGTTTTAGTATGGAAGGGGAGAAACATGGAAATTCAGATTCGGGTTTTCCCCACATCTCTAATAAATTCTCACTTTGATTGACTTTGTCTTGGAGTTTTGAATCACATGGAGAATTGAATTGGAATGCTGACAGAAGGTATGTTGGCAGTACTATCGTGTTTCCCAGAAAATAAGTCCTGATCTTACTTTCTTTTGGGCTCCAAAATAAGCACAAGGGCTTATTTGGGGGGGATGTCTTTCCCCCCACCCCATGTACTTTAAAAGTACATGGGAAGTCCACTTCTTCTACTTGCTTACGGCAGGGCAGGGGCCTCAAGTGTGCCAGTGCTACTGCTGTTAGGGATGGGTGGGTGAAGCTGCTTCACATACCCCACACCGGCTTACCTCAGGGCCTTCCAATTTGGAAGGACAATTTTTAGTCCCAGTAACTGACTCAGATTGGACCCTGACTCATATTCATGACAGTTGCAGTGATTCTATGTCATGTGATCACCTTTTGCAGGCTTCTGATAAGCAAAGTCAATAAAGAAGCCAGATTCAATTTAACAACTGCAATGATTCACTTAAACAAGTATGGCAAGAAAAGTCATAAACGGGCAAAATTCACTTTAAAATGTGTTGCTTTAAAACATAAATTTTGGGCTCTTTTATAAGCTGTATGAAATATTCAACTTAGATAATGTGTCTACTGTAATTATACACTAAGTAAATCATTATTGGCTATTTGTTTAAGACTTACCCAGCTGACTATCAAAAAGGCAGCATAATAGGATGTCATCAACATAGAGTTTCCAAACATAAAGACGAAGCATATAGCAAGTGATACCTGAGGTGACATAAAGATATTAATTAAGATTACAGAGGCATGACAAATATATAGAGTATCTATACTATAAGATTTTTAAAAACAAATAGTGTATAAAATGCTATCATATACACTATTTAAAATATTTTAAATAATATCATTTGACAAAAGATTCACAAATATAAATTACTGTTGTAAAATAATTGAGATTTTTTTCTAACTTTATATCATGATGACATTTCAGGTTTCAATTTAGAAACAAATTAACCATGTTTGTTTATTTAAACAAATAGCAACTAAACAACTCTTAAAACTGGATTGTAAGCACTTAACTGTAAGCACTTGTTGATTCAATTAGGATTAATGTTTCAATGAAGATTAATGCTCATTTTTTCTCTTCCCCCCATCATCCTCTTTTGACATTTTCAGTGACATAGAGACTACCTATATTAACAAAATCTTGCAAGCCTGAATGACCTTTATCTTCCCTTCTTGTTTTATTCCAGTGGGTAAGGGAGGAGCCTGCCTGAGTCTCTTCTGAATGCTGTTCTGATTTACAGGAATTAGAATGCTTTATACTTCTTTGATTATGTAATAATTCTTGTATATTTCTGTCAAGAACACCTCTCTTACACTTTACACTGTTCGATTAAAAAGTGAGATAACATTTTGTTATTAATAAAAGCAACTTAACATTATTTTGAAACTAATCATAAGTATAAACATTCAGAAACTGGTTTTATCAAACACTATTGTTAAAAATATTACCATATGTGCATAAAGTATCTTCTGTAGTTTGGCTGAATCAATAAATCCCAAAATATATATACCAAAAACAGAGGCTACCTGCAATTGAAAAAACACAGTACATTTTACCTAAAATAGTTTAAAGAAAGATATAAAATCTCCAAATTATTCACCTTGTGAAAATAAACTGAAAAAATGAAAAAGGAATTTTAAACAGTTTTATCATATAAACTACAAACAATAGTTTAAATTTATAATTGGAGTGTAAGTACTACAATTTAATTGACCAATTCCATAATTTACAGTACAATATTTAATTTTTGAAATACTGTAAATTTCCAACTATTTCTCCAAATTTCCACCTGTTTTCCAACAAGTGGACTCTTACGCCCAGAATTCCCAGCAATGGTCATATATTGGGAAATTTCAGGATCCAAAAGGGCTGCTTCAGAGCAATATATTTACAGACCTACATTCTTTAAGTTAGACAACTCATATTTTCATTCTGTATATCTTAATTTTCACCAGGACATGATTATTTCATCATGCAAAACAGAAAACTCTAAGATGTTTGGCATTCCACTCCATACTCTATAAATTTTATAAAAGTAGTGAAATGGAAGACCCTTTCTACAGAATAACAAGGAATGTATTTTTTTCATATCTGATATCAAGTCCATTTTATCAGGGGTGAAATTCAAAATTTTTCACTATTGGCTCTGTGGGCGTGGCTTGGTATAATAGTAATAGCAACCAGGGGGTGATTTTTTTTTACCAATTCCACCACCTCTCCTGAGCCAGCCCAGGGTAGTTGAATTTCACCCCTGCATTTTATCTATATTATGGAAGCAATACCTAACTACTAAAGATATAAAAAGAGGTATTGGCAACTATGAGGTAGGAAAAAAAATGGCTCCAGCCATCAACTGCATCCAAGAGGTTGGTAATGGTTCTATTAGCTGACAAGAGGGGGTGGAATTTCAGCCTTGACAGGATTTACACCCATACATTTAAAAATAAATTGAAAAAGATGGGCCCAATATATAAGCTCTGATTCACTCTATGCATTTATAATATTGGAACAATGAGAACAAAAAATTCTAGAAACTATATCAAATTTATGTAAAGTCATTCTTATACTACTTCATGATTAGAGTGTTGACTAAGTTTGTAGACTTTTTAAATATATTTCCATAGAATGAAGTATACCATGTAATTAAATGGAGGATTCTAAGCTTGCTCCACTACTATGATACTGTCTTGCATCAAGCAGTCAGCTACTTTTGGACTTAATTTCATAGAGGCTTTATTTTATACCAAAAATGTGAGCAAAAATTATTTTTTTTGGAGTCACCTTTTTTAAAGACTAGGGATGCTAATGGTTTTAAACCAAACAAGTAGTATTTGAACTTTGCAACTGATATGTTTACAGCAGCCTTCTATTTTTAGTAAAGATATACATTTAACGCTCAGATAATGTCACAATATTTCACTTTTGTGTATCTTTGGGAGGTGGGAATGCAACTGATGCCACCAAAATGGGCTTGAAAATGTTCTGGTCATGCTTTGAGGGAGATATATCCTGAAAAATCTATTGATCCAGAGGGAATTCTTAGAAAAGACAGATGAGACAAACGTATGTTTATCTGTGGTAATCTTTTCTCAAATTGTCATTTAGACTTTTTTCTTTTCAGAAGGAGCCTATATAACGAAAGTACAGATAAATGAAAACCTAACAGCTCAAAATCATATCTCAATTCAACAACCACTACCACAACCTAAACCACAAATAATCACCAAACTGCAACCACAACCACAAATAACCACCAACCCAGCAAATAATTCCAACCCAACAAATAATCTCACCTTACTCATCAAAGACATCATTGAACGTGAACAAAAACATCCAAATGCTATTCTATTTGGTCTTGATGACACTAACGAATCAGATGATATTACTAAGGTTCAAACATCCGAAGCAATACATTAAACATCTTCCCTAAAGACATCATTGAAATTTCCAGGGATGGCCCTGAGTACAAGTACAATGACGGCTTGGTGGCCTCACGATTTTGTAGAGTCGTTTGCAAAAATGAATCCAGCAAATGTATATTCATTCATATAATAAACTCCATCGCTAAAACCAACCTCAACCATAACAAACTTTCCTCATGACCCAACTTGTCCATACTGCAAAGAATCTGCTCCCGTGAACTCTGCACAGAACTCAAAAGACATCAAGACAATGAAGAGAATGACTACAGAGCTGACTGTATTGACTACAGAGCTGACTGTATTAAAAGAAAGTTCTGAAACCCTCATACTAACATCCATCACCCAATCACCCCAAACTAGGCATACAGGCCTCTAACTTCATCAATACCAACTCCTAATTATCTTAAATGCAAGCTACTTAACACAAGAAGTCTCGTAAATAAAATACCTGAATTCCTCCTTTTACTAAATACAACTAAATTCGACATTATATTTTTCTATGAAACATGGCTGAATGCATCCATCCCTGACTCCATTACCACAGTAAGAAATGATTATGTTTACCGATCCAATCGTGAAATCCATAGAGGGGGGGATATTGCTATCTTCTGCAAAAAGTCCCTACATCTAAAAAATATTCAAGTTAACCAGGAGCTTGCTCTTCCTGAGACCATCCCCTGTGAGCTGTCCTTAAACATCACATTTCGCTTCTTGCTATGTTACAGAGCCCCGATTTGACATCGTATATGCGAACAAGTTAATTTCACTACTAACGTGGAAAATCTCCTGCCCACACACTCTTATCTTTCTTGGTGACCTCAATCTACCTCTTATTAATTGGACACAAAATGAATGTACAACTGAACCCATACATGCAATCTTGTACAATGCTGTAACTAACCTGGGACTTGAACAACTAGTAACAAACAACACTAGACTCAACAACTGCCTCGATCTCATCTTCAGCAACAGTTTGAACTCAATTTATGGACTACAAATAAAATAACACTTTTTCAACAGTGAATACAGTATGATTGACTTTTGTCTCAACGTAAGTCCTTACGAAAATCATCACAATATCGGGATCCCCAATTATAACTTTAAAAAAGCCAACTATGATCTCATAGACATTGACCTCTCATCTCTTGATTGGCAAATCCTATTCACTGGCTGCAGTACTTCCAAAAACTATTACAACATTGTTTTAGTTGAAGTCAAAAGAGTCATCCAACTATATGTATCACTAATAACTCCCAAAACTAGAAAAAACAAATTACCGATAACCATAAGGAGACTCCAATCCCCCCCCCAAATCCCTTTGGCGGAAAAACAAAACTGTCTTTGTAGCCAACTTTAAAAGCCGCTACAAAAACTTATGCCACCGATAAAGACTGAATGCACCAATTATCACATCAAACAAGAGGAAAACCTTCTGTGCACGAAATCTACCTGTGCCTTCTACACCTTTGAAAACAACAAACTTAAAAACATGAGATCCATCCCATCCCTAAACGGACCTAACGGTTAAGACAGTAACGATGAAACCATTAAAGCCAACCTCTTTAACACATTCTTCTGCTCAGTCTTTGTAAACAGCAATGGCTCATGCCCAATGGTCTAATACATATTGATTTTACAGGAGATAACATCGAACAAGCACTACGCAGTCTAAAACCATCTCTGTTTATTGGACCTGATGGACTATGTGCCTATTTCTTAAAAAAAGCTTTCCACTGCTATAGCAGAACCTCTAAGCATAATCTTTGCAAAATCTTTCAGGACCAGAAAGATTTTCCTTACCCAACCTATGATCACTAGCCCTGGTCATCCCCATCTTCAAAAAGGGAGACCCCAGACTTGTTGAAAATTACAGACCAATCTCTTTATGTTACGTCACCTGCAAAGTTACTGAATCAATTATTAACCAAACCATTACCCTCCAATTAGAGACAAGCAACATATGGACTACACAACTTGATCAGGGCAAAGCAATAGATGCAATTTACGTAGACTTCTGTAAAGCTTTTGATTCAGTGGTACATGACAAATTACTCTTAAAACTAAAATCTTATGGTATCTCTGGATACCTGCATAACTGGATAGATACATTCCTGTCAAACAGACAACAAATGATCAAAATTGGGAGTGTCCTATCAAATCCTGTACCTGTCAACAGTGGTGTCCCCCAAGGCAGTGTTCTAGGACCAACTCTCTTCATACTCTACATAAATGACCTTTGTGATCATATTAAAAGCAACTGTGTTCTTTTTGCTGATGATGTAAAACTTTTCAACACCATCGAGAATACTACTACCCTTCAAAAAGACCTTGACTATGTGTCAGAATGGTCAAACAAATGGCAATTTCAAATCTCAACAGACAAATGCTCTGTCTTTCATATTGGCAAAAACAAATCACAAAATAAAATACAAGCTGAATGGACATGACCTTGTAAATGACCCCCACTCGTCAAGGACCTTGGAGTACTCATCTCTAATGATCTAAGTGCTAGCGCTCACTGTAACAACATAGCCAAAGAGACATTAAGAGCTGTTAACCTAATCCTGTGTAGCTTTTTCTCTGGTAATATTGTATTACTAACTAGAGCATTCAAAATATTTGTTAGACCAATTCTCTAATAGAACCAGGGGTGGGATTTTACCAGTTCGTACCTATTTGCTAGAACTGGTTGTTAACATTCTAAGCAGTTTGGAGAACCGGTTGTTAGAAGAAATTACTGCCCTAATCCTGTAAGGAAGGCAGGAAGGAAACATTCTAGTGTTGCTTACAGAAACTGCCTCTCTGTTAACCCTTATTACATTCTTGGCAGGACTAGACTTCCTGTCTCAGGAATTTCTCTGGAGTTTTTTTTCTCCTCCTTTGCTGGTACTGTGCTTGTGTGGAGTGACCATTTAAAGTTACAATGGCACTGAAAAAAGTGACTTATGACCATTTTTCACACTTACGACTGTTGCAGCATCCCCAGAGTCATGAGAGGCCAGGAGATGCGTGCCTCGATGTGAGTGATATTGAGTTGGCCACACCCAGCCGATAACATGACCACCAAGCCACGCCCACCACCTAAGCCACGCCCACAGAACTGGTTGTTAAAAATTTGAATCCCACCCCTGAATAGAACTTATCTGTCTGGAATCCACATTGCATATCAGACATTAACACAATCAAGAGAATCTAGAACTATTTCATAAGAGTCCTCCACTCCTCTACTCGTAACAAAATACCTTATGCCACCAGACTTGAAATTTTAGGCTTAGACAACTTAGAACTACAGCGAGTTTGGTCCTAAGAGTAGTACATAAAATTATCCATTGCAATGTCCTACTCGTCAATGACTACTTCAACTTCAACCACAACAATACACAAGTACATAATAGATACAAACTCAAGGTAAACCGCACCAAACTCAATTGCAGGAAATACGACTTCAGCAACAGAGTGGTCAATGCCTGGAATACTCTGACTCTGGTTTCTTCCCAAAACCTCAAAAACTTTAACCTTAGACTGTCTACTGTTGACCTCACCCCATTCCTAAGAGGTCTTTAAGGGGTATGCTAAGTGCACCAACGTGCCTACAATCCCTGTCCTAATATTCCCCTTTTATTCTTATCCATTTCATGTATTAATAATCATGTTTATACTTATAACTGTTATCTCATACATGCTTAATAAATAAATAAAAAAATAAAATTAATGTTTTCAATATCAATTCTACATGAATAAGAATATGGAAACCTTGTAAGCTTCTGATAATTTTGACCTTGCTATGGCACATTTGTGATCAAATCAGAAATTATTATTGTTCTTAGGTGTTAAATGTATAATATGTATTCTATTCTTCTCTCAACAGTTATTTGAGACAACAAATATACCTAAATATAAAATAAAGGTAAAGGCGGTGCTCACCACTGTTTCTTAGTCAAGGAAGCCAGTGTGGGGCCATGGAAGACATTTCCATGGTCATGTGGCCAACATGACTATATGCCAAGGCGCATGGAATACTGTTACCTTACCACTAAAGTGATATCTATATCTACACACATTTACATGCTTTTGATCTGCTAGATGGGCAGGAGATGGGGTAAGTAATGGGAGCTATTGTGAGCACCAGGTCTGAAATCAATATTCCAGCTGAAAGCTCAGTGGCTTTTACTGCTGAACCATTGCACACTGCTGAACCATTGTACACTGCTGAACCATTGCACACTGAAAAGTGGGTATACAAAATACTAATAATATTTATTGACATTATCTTACCTGGGTTAAAAGAACAAACTGAGCAAACTGCCATGGAAGCATGAATAGAACATTAGAAACAGATAATGCAATCAAGCTTCTTCTATTAACATTCTGCGTCCTTATGGAAAAGAATAAGAGATCGATTAAGATTAACAATAATGGCTCTGTAATGTATCCAAATGACAATAGTGAATAAATCTTTTTCAACAGACTTAAACTCTGGTTAAATTTCAAAACAATTAATAGAAAAATTCATAAAATAGTTATCTAATACCGTAAAATTAAACAGAAAAAAAGAACCTTCTACACACACCCTTTATTTATGTATAATATAATTAATAATTACATAATAATTGGATGAAAATTCCTAATCCAGTCTAAACAGATGGCTGACTGCAACAAACCATAATCACTATAAAAACTTTGGGTCAACATAGATTTATTTTAAAATCCCATGACTTTTTAAAACATGTTTCTTTTAATGTTAGTCTGATTTTCATATTCCCACTTTCTCTTATTAGTTTTCCTTATCAGGAGTAAAAGTAATTTTTGACACAAATTCTTATTACGTTTAGATGTACACAGGATCATCCTAATCATTCCTCATTTTAAGAAAAACATACAGAAAACTTGGTATTTATTCACATGTAAACTTGTTTTCTCTCAATAAAAGGAATAGGTTTTCTATGGACAAATTACAAATGAGGTTTCTAGTCTTTCCCAATCTGGTGCAGGGGTGGGATGCTACCGGTTCGGCCTGGTTTTATAAAACCTGTAGCTGCAAAGAGCAGCTGACACCAAACTGGTTCAGTGTTTGGCCCACCTGCCTGCCCCGGCTCTAGGCTGTCCTTTATTCCCTGCTTTTCCCTCCTCCGCTGCTTTGCGCGGCCTAATGCGGTTGAAAAAGCAGTAAACGAGGATTTTCAAACGCTGTGCACCAGAGTGCAGCACTTGTCAGCTGTCTGAACTGGCAAATCGCTCCACTGGCTGGCCACTCCCCTCCCCACCCACTCACTCCTTAGCTAGCATGCGAGCCATTCAACTTGCCTGGTTTGGTAAGTTGCTATATTTCCTTTTTTTCTCCCGACCATTAGCTGTTCTGCTCTGCCAGGATAATTTAGATTAGCTAGAAAGCAGGAAATCTTTGGATTTCCTGCTTTCTATGTAATCTAAAAGCAGAGCCGAACCTTCCTTAGGATTGAAGCTTTTCAGTGCAGACTAAACTAGCCGATTGCAGATAGATAGATCTCTAAGTTAATCTGTGATTCTGTAAGCAATTCAATCTGCCTGCCTCTTTGGGGTAAAAGATGCTCTTTTTTATATAAAAAAAATCAGTATTTACATACATGGTGTGTTGTGAATAAATTTTGTGAGTTTGGTTGCAAATAAATTTTATGTGACAGACTGAGGTAGCCAATTGCAGATAGATAGATCTCTAAGTGAATCTGTGATTCTGTGAGCAACTCAATCTGCCTGCCTGCTTTGGGGTAAAATTTGCTCTGTCTTTTGATAAAAAAATTCAATATTTACATACATGGTGTGTTCTGAGTTAATTTTGTTAGTTTGCTTGCAAGCAAATTTTATGTGACAGACTCAGATAGCCTATTGCAGATAGATCTCTAAGTGAATCTGTGATTCTGTAAGTAATTCAGTCTGCCTGTCTGCTTTGTCTACTTTTGGGTAGAAGTTGCTTTTTTTAATAAAAAAAATCAATATTTACATAAATATTTATAATATTTACATACAAGCCATGCCCACCCAGTCACATGATCACCAAGCCAGGTCCAGTCAGCAAGCCATGCCCACCCAGTCACATGACCAACAAGTCACACCCATAAATTAGGCCACACCCACAGAACTGGTTGTTAAGAAATTTGAATCCCACCCCTGATCTGGTGGTCCCCCAACATTTTGAATTATCTCTCTTGTCCTATCATCTTTGAGGATGATGGAAGGATACTAGATTGAAGAGACTAGAAAAGACAACACATAATAATGGCTGTAATAGTAAAGGTGCTAAATATAGATTCAGAGCTTAGTCCTGCTTTTATATCTATACTACCACATGTATCTACCATAAATTAAAGCAAATTATTTACATAGCAGTAATACCATTTTGTAACTTATGAATGCATAAATCAGTATCGTGTTTGAAGATTTTGTTTCCATGTTTAAGAATGGAAATTACCTGAGAATGTATGTTAATAATAACATCTGAACCACAAGGAAGGGATAAGAAAAACTTTCACGGAGAGGAGGAGTCCACATCACACGGGTACTCTGGAAATAAGAATTCAGGTCATTTGTTACATATTCTAATGTTTGTTTTTTCCTTCATAAATCTTTGGAAAATATATTTATCTGGGTTTTGAACTGCAGTCGAGATTTTTTTTAAAAAAAAAGGCTCAAAAATTGTCCATAATGTAAGAAAATTTGTCCATAAAAGAAAAATCTATTGTAATTTTACTTTACAGTAACTATTGCAGCTATTTTTCTTCCTGGAATTTTTATTCCATTTCCCAATAAACTGAACTAGTCATTCTATTCTAAACTAGGAACATAACTTCAAAAGAAAATTAATATTAATTATAGCTAATAATGGTAATGGCAATTAACTTTATAAGTATATTGATAGTAAGCATATTAGCTTTGAATAACAACAATAGCATAAATTAGAATCCCAGATTCAATGTTGTACATAATTTGATGTTAAATAATCATATTTGCAGATTTCTTTACCAGTAAATGGTATTTTAAAGGTTTTTTAGTTAAATTTCTAATTATATAGCCAATTTAATCCAATGACATTTACCAAACATACTATACTACTTCTACAAATAGTACCAACTATTGTTGAGTAGATTCATGAATAATGTTAAATATTGGCATGACCGATAAGCAACATACTAAATAAAAATATACATCTATTTTAGTTAGTGATAACTCCATTTAAGCTCCGCTAATGATAACAGTAGAATCAGATATGAGTTTTTGGAATAATTCAGCAACATTCTTTTGGGGAAAATATATGAAAAAGTCACTCATGAATACTTCTAGGAAAAAAATGCATGCAAATCTAAAACAATAATTAATTTGATTGTTTAAAATGAAAAGAAAGAAAATTTGTAGAAAATTCAAGGATGAAAGGAGTCCTGAATATGAGGCAGACTGTTGAGGTAATTCCCCGTTAGGAGAATGAGCGCATACAGGGAGATGTATTTGAGAGTAGTGTTTGAATAATACACACACAGCACACAGATACACTGTACAGTAAATGTAGGTTTTTACTTCCAGAAAGGTTTAAAGCAAAGTTCAAAATAAGCAGTCCAAAATCATTCACAGGTAAATCAGTCAGTTTTTCAATCCAGGGATAATCCAAATATCAAAATCCAGTGTCAAAAAACAATTCAGTAACAGATTTACATTAAATCCAGAAATATCAGCCAATTAGGAAAAATGGCAATATTTTCCAACAGAAGGAAACAGAGACACACTCACACTCTCTTCTGAGACTCAGACTAAAACTAAACAACCCGGGTTTTTGGCTCCATCTTATGGCTGTTTGAGAAACCACACCTAATTACACTTTTAGCAATCCCTTAGAGACAGTATTAAAATGTTTATCCTGGTTTATATATTTCTAACCCAAATACCTGTTAGGTGACTTATATTCCTAACACAGACTATTATTTTTTAAACTATCAATAGTAAATATTAAGGAAAGAATCAGAATAGAGCTGGAAGGGATCTTGGAGGTCTTCTAGTTCAGCCCCCTGCTCAAGCAAGAGATCCTATACCAATGATGGTATTTCCGTCCTTGCATGCCAAAAGTGTGTATGTGCACACCAGCACCCATAAGGCAATGCACGCAGGGGCCCCCACACCCCCTTCGCATGCATGGGTGACCCCCAATGCACAGCACGCATCTCCTGCATGTGCCCCACCTATGCATATGCGCATCAGCTACGCGATGATCAGCTGGCAGGCAGCCGGTGCACGCCTGCGCAGTGGACCTGCTCTGGGGTGACACCTTGTGTGTCGGCAGAGATGGCTCTGCGTGCCACTTCTGCATGCATGCCATAGATTCGCCATCACAGTCCTATATCATTTCAGACAAGTGACTGTCCGGTCTCTTCTTTAAAACCTCCAGTACAACATATGAAGGCAAGCTTGTTCCATAGGTTGACTGTTCTCACTGTCAGAAATTTTTTTCTTATTTCTAGGTTGAATTTCTCCTTGATCAGTTTCCATTCATTATTCCTTGTCCTGGCTTCTGGTGCTTTGAAAAATAAATTGATCCCCTCTTCTTTGCGGCAGCCCCCCAAATTCTGGAATATTACTATCATGTGCCCCCTAGTCCTCCTTTTCTGTAGACCAGTCAAACCCAAATCCTCCAACCGTTCTTCATATGGTTTAGCCTCCAGGCCTTTAATCATCAATTATTTGTTCTTCTTTCCACTTTTTCCAAAGTGTCAACCCTCCTTTTTAATATGGTGATCAAAACTGGATGCAGTATTCCAGATGTGGTCTAACCAAGGCTTTATAAAGTTGTACTAATACTGATTTTGATTCTATGTCTGTTTATACAACCAAGGACTCTATTTACTTTTTTGGCTGCTGCTACACGCTGCTGACATGTTTAAGTGATCATCCACTAAGACTCAAAGGTCCCTCTAACAGTTTTTCCTGTCCAGTGTAAAACTTTGGTTTGCTCCACATTAAATTTCATTTTGTTGGATAGGGCCCATTGTTCAAGTCTGTCAAGATCTTTTTGGATCCTGAGCTTGTATTCTGGCTATTCCTGCCAGTTTATTGTTATCTGCAAATTTGATGAATTCTCCTTCTATTCCCTCATCTAAGTCATTTATAAAGATATTGAAGAGTACTGGACCTAAGATGGAACCTTGTGGCATCCCACTGCTTATTTTCCTCCATGTGGATGTGGTACCATTAAGAACTACTCGTTGAGTATGGTTTGTCAGCCATTGTCAGCCATTACAAATCCATCTGGTGGTGATGCTGCCTATCCCACGTATTTCTAGCTTACGAAGTAGTAGGTTGTGATCTACTTTGTCAAATGCGTTGCTGAAATTTAAATGTAGTACATCCCCAGCATTTTGCTGGTCTATGAATTTAGTCACTTTGTCAAAGAATGAAATAAGATTGGTTTGGCATGATGTATTTTTAACAAAACCTACTAGTTACAACCTTATTTGTTTCTAGATATTCACAGATCTATTTTTTAATTATTTTTTCCAGTATCTCCCCAGGTATTGATATTAGGCTGACTGGTCTGTAGTTTCCTGGGTCTGGTTCCCCCCCACCTTTTTTTTGAAGTTGGGAACCACATCAGCTCTTTTCCAGTCCTCTGGTAGTTCCCCGGTGCCCCAAATTTTTTAAAGATACGATGCAATGATTCTGATGTAACATCTACCAGCTCTTTCAGAACTCTGGAATGTAATTATCAGGTCCTAGTGATTTATATTCATTAAGGTCAGACAGATGTTCTCTTACCATTTTCTTGCTTATTTTATTTTTTATTTCTAGTTTGTCTTTACATTTTGGTAGGTTGGGAAAGTTTCCTTTTGTGTGAAGACTGACGAAAAGAAAGAGTTAAGCAGCTCTTCTTTCTCTCTACTGCCTATTACTTCCTTGCTATCTTCTGTCTTTAGTGGACCAACTGTTTCTTGCCTTTTTGTTATTTTAATGTTGAAAGAAACTTTTTTATTATTATATTTGACTTTTGTTGCAAATCTTTGTTCATTCTGAACCTTTGTTTTCCTGACTTCACCTCTGCAGATTCGGGCTATCTGCTGATACTCTGCCTTAGTTATGTGTACCTCTTTCCATTTTTTGTATTTATCCTTTTTGCCTTTCAGTTTATCAAAGAGATCTTTATGCAACCATGCTGGTTTCTTCTTGGATTTCTGGTTTTTCTTTTTGAGTGGTATTGTGTTGGACCGGGCTTTTATGATCATATTTTTCAGAGTTTCCCAAGATTCTTGAGTTGTTTTCCTTTTTATCCATGAAATTTTGCTTAGGGTTTCTCTGAGTTTGTTATAATTAGCTCTTCTAAAGTTTAAGATGCTGGTTAAATAATATTCTATTGCTTGTATTTGCATTATATTGAATTCCAGTATGATGTGGTCACACTCGCCCAAGGTTCCAGCAATTTTAACTCCTTCTATCACTTCCTCTCTATTAATAAGAATTAGGTCCAATTTTTCCTCTAGTTTCCTCCTTTACCTTTTGGATGACAAAGTTGTCCGCTAAGTTGGTTAAGAATCTGTTTGATCTCCCACTTGCCTCAGAGTTTGTCTCCCAGTTGATATCAGGGTAAAGTCTCCTATTATTATTATTGTGTATGTTTTTACATACATTTGTTAATTGATTAGCAACCGAAGGGGACAGGGAGAAAAGGGATAAACTTTCAAGTCAGGGAGTAGAGGGTTAAGATCAAAGCCTCTCCTAGAAAATAGAAATGAGGAAGGGGAGGAGGCAGATGATCCAGATGTGCCACACAGGCTGTGGGAAAGCTTGGATTTGGTGGGCTGGTCAGTTGCGGGAGGCTCATCTTCACACAGGGGCATTGGTAGCAGATGGAGGCAGAGGCACAGGGTGGAAAGTAGGTGACCCTGATGTGCTGTGTGGGCCGCAGGCAAGTTGAGAGCCACAAAGACAAACCTCCAATGACCAGCTGCCCCACTGACTCTTGGCTTTCCTGCAGCCCATGTAGCACATCCGGATCACCTGCCTTCCTCCCACACCTCTACCTCCATCTGCTGCCAGTGCCACTGCATGTAGAAAAGCCTCCCATGGATGGCCAGTGCTCTGATCCAACTTTTGGCTTTCCCACAGCCCATATGGCATTTCCAGACCACATGCCTCGCCCCCACCTCTGCTTCAGCCTGCTGCTTTGTCATGTAATCAACTCACCTGCATTGCACAAGCTACAGCTGCTGTTGGACATTGTTGGCCTGCGTGCAGTCACTGCCTCCTGTGCTGGCCACGCTCACCCCTTTCACTAAGACTTATTTTGGATTAGCACTTATATTAGGTGCACTTAAAAATCAAGCTAGGGCTTATTTTCGGGATAGGAGGAACACATATTGATATATCACATCTATATCAAGTAAGAGTTCTATCTGCACTGCAATCAATGTTCAGATTGATTGCAGTACAAATAGAACCCTTACTTACAGATTGTTGGTCCTTCAAAGCCTATCTAGTCTACATAAATTTAGGATTAGAAGTGATTATTTTTTGTGAGGGGTGAGGGA